CTCACACGCAACACCATTGGCCAAGAAACTCCTTTGTTGTGGTGTAATTTCAAGGACAAAAGCGATCATTTTCATTCAATCTCTCCTTTGCAAAATTTGATGACGTAACTCGGGGATCGCAGTACACCCAAGTGACGATATTTGAGTGCGGTTCATAGATTGGACCCGAGCATTGCGTGGGCACTCGACTTGGGCTCGTGACAATTGCTAGCTCGAGAAGCATTCGGGTTGTGACCCGTGTCCAATCGCTGCAACGACGACAACAGCCGAGCCATAACAATGTCTGGAACTCAGCGCGTGTCCTGCGCTTTGCCAACCCCTGCGCGTGGCTATGATCAACAGTGGCGGCATATAATCGGCTCCAGATCACGTGGCCGCTTGTTCTGGCTGCGAGTTGAGGGGGTGAACGCCGCTCGTTTTTCTTAAATTTTTTTCTGGGACTTCTATTGCGTGGGGTGAAAAACGAACGCGTGTTTCATAGGTCATTAACGTTAGGGATCCGATTTAAGCGGTATTTGTGCACAGTACAAAAATTGTTGCATCGCTCCTTTAAATATATTACGGTTCCTGTAGAAACTGCCCTCTAAGTGGCGCGCTGGGGTGAGCGCTAGAAGTTTTCGAGCTCGCAACGGCGCAGCTCCGTACACTTAATAGTTGTCGCAAGTCGCGGCTTTGACTGCATTCAAGTTGATCGAAAAGCGATTTCTGTGCCCGTGAAGCATCACTTCCAGCTGAGTGGATATCCGCTCTACAGAGATTAATTCAAGACGGCAATTGCAGCTTTGCGCGAACAGCACTAATAGAAAAACGAACACTACAATATAAATACTGGCTACGAAGGGCCATGCGGGAAAACAAACTCATGGCTTGGAACCACATTGGAGCGGCTCGATTTATTGGCTTTCAAATAATTATGGCATGATCGAGCGTCTTCTTTTTAATAAGAGATCCATCCCCTGAGCCATTAAAAATAGCCTCAGATGTATGACATTTCTGAAAAAAAATGAACATGTTCGGAATATTTTTTTTTTGCTTAGGGAGTCACCGAAAAATTCCGTACGTTCAAAACGACCACTATAAAAGACGGAAACGCAGGGCTCGGTAGTAGTGATTGGGGTAGTGTGCTGTTGTATTGATGTTTGTATGTGCGATACCTGTGTATGCGTTCAATATATGTTGACCTGATGTTTCTAGTGTGCGCAACGTGTCTACATGTGTGAGAGATTCCGAAGAAAAGGAAACGCAATTGTGGCGTAAGGAAATAAAAATATTTTTCTGTAAAACATGAATTGGGCGGTATCTAGCGCCACCTAGCCTAGCTACATGCGATTACTCTGCTTGATCCTGCCATCTGGTGGCAAGCGATTTAACATCCTTTTACGCTACGCGGCTACGCCATAATTTCGTGTTACCGTGCTGAGATAAGCCAAGAGGTTGCTTCGGATTTGCTTTTTTTTTTGAAAGCGGCTTTTGGTTTTGCGGGTGAATGATTTTCACTCCTCCGTGATGTGCATGCGGTTGACTCAACGGTTGACGAAGGAATTGTGGCTCGAGGAATAGCAAAGGTAGGACATAAAGTGCGCGAACTGAGTGCCGGTTGTCTCCGTTGAACATCGCAGTGCTGACGATGAGAAGACTGAGTGACTGCATGCTTTCGAAACGTAAGTTTCTTTACCTGCAGGCGTAAAGAAACTTCGGAAATAAATACAGTTCGCGGAAAGCTCGTGTTACGTTTTTATTTCCTGCTGATCTCGCTTCGTGCCATAGACTTAGTGTTCTCGTTAAGCCTTACCGAGCTCGATTTGCTCGATTCGTGGCCGCCATAATGAGGTGCAGTCGACCGAGGAACTTTTCCTCCCCTGCTTAAGGGACGAAAGTTTCTCCCTTTCTGAAGGAACATATGTGTCAAGAGCGTTCCTCCCTTTAGGGAGGACTATACTGACCCTTTTTTCTAAGAGTGTATATCCGGGGACCTTTCTATGCTCGCCGCACGTCGGTGCCTGATCACAGTCACACTACCCTTTCTAGCATGCGCCGCCTTTTCCACCGCTTGGTGGCGGGTATGTCAACGGGTCATTTCTTGTTTCCCTACTTTATAAACTGCATTTGTTTCTTTTCTGATCTAAAATACTGAGCACAAACTACTTTCATAAATAATTGAAACGGTTCGCGCCACTTATATTTTGTATAGCGACAAAAAAGAAGCTTCTAGGGGCTCTGACCACTAGTAAGGCCAGAACCAAAGACCTCACGTATCGCGCGCTTTCGGCACCGCGGGTCGCCCCCGTAGGTGGAGGAGGTTTCCGCATCGTCCGGTTAACAAATCACGCACTGATATTTCTTTAGTTACTCTCTCCGAGCCCGCTGGCTTGCCCGAACCCCAAGAGACGTGGAAATCGCAAAATAGTTAGACGCTAAAATATGATTGCGTTTAAGAAATGCCTTGCGTTTGTTAAGCTGTCAGGAATCCGTCCAATCAGAATTCAGCGTTCTGACGTCACCACACGCTCTCATCTCCTCCTCTCCTTCAGTTTCTCTCCGTATAAACTCGGGATCCTGGTGGTCGAATAAAAACAAATTATATCTGTGCTTTCCTTTAAAAAAAATATCGCTACAGTTTTTTTTTTTTTTTTTTTTTTTACATTTATTAGAAAACAACCATGGCCATACTCACCATAGCGTCAGAGCCGTAATATTCCAGAGATGTGGGGAAGCGTACGTCAAAGGTCTCGATCTTGGTTACGTGACCCATTTCCACACGACTGCCGTTAGCGGGTTGGAAGGCTGAATCCTATATCTGCGTCTAGCTCCCAACAGTATACACGCGCCTCTGGCAGGATGTAGCACACGATATTCGAGAGCGTTGCCTGACCGATTTAGCGGTGTCATCTGCCAAACAGCTGCACACACAGTTAGAAAATGATTGTTTCTTTCTTTATTGTTCGTCTCTCTCGTGAAAAAGGCTCAAAACAATTGAGGTTCTACCAGGCACATGTAATGCATCTGGTGTGACGAGATATAAAAGAGAGCGTGTTTCTTTGGAATTTTTGACAGCGTATCCAAATGGCGATGAGACCCCCTCAACCGTGTACCTATTGCAGAAGGCCGCGACGAAAAGCGTTGGTGTCTGGTTAGAAAAATGTATTTACAACAGTGGTGTCATGCCTAGAACAAAACCAAAAACCGAAAACACGCTATGTACAGTATATTCACTGGACGCCATATTTGTGAGTGCTGTTTAGAGCGCATGCTCAGAATGAGCTCACATTAACAGGCTGCTAAGACCGGCAACATGACGGTGTGGAGTGCACGTTCCAAAATAAGTGTGGAAGTTCGCCATCAGCACGCGCTCAGCAATCGCGCACACAGCTATGGCCGCCAGTAAATCAAAGACTGGCCAAACGCCGGGGGTAACAGCACTGACACGTACCATCGAACTGATGGTGCGTGTCGTTCAGGTGGATCTCGAGCTGGGGCTGACTGAACCCGAGACCCACCACCTGAACGCTGAAAGTTGCACTTTTGTCCAATACATGTCTGCCTTGCACTGGCCATCAGTAGGGGACGTTCACATTCAGCGTTTTCGTTGATAGATGGCGCTGACTGTAGTTCGTTAACAGAGTTGCGCGTCTGTTTTCCACGTGCCGCCGCGCCGGATCAAGTGCCGCGCAGAAGCGTTGCACGCGCCCCGCCGTACGTTCCTCTGCTTTTGAGCGCGCCGCGCGCCGAAGGCGCGGCGCCGCTATTCGCCGAATTCAGTCACGTGACGAGCGGGATTAACATACCGTGCAGGAAAGACGGCACTACGGAGATGAGCGCTCAACAACACTATTCGTTAATTACGAGGGTACGGCGAAGTGTAGGCTCAATTGCTTCCGCTGCATCAGTTAAATTTAGCAAAAGGGTGCACATGCGGCCTGTTGGCGGCGTGTCTGCGAACTACGGGGGGGGGGGGGGGGGGGGGGGGGGGCGCTTCTCTAGCTATCATCATCATCGTTTGTGACGTCACGGGTAGGGCAGACCGTGGGACGGTAACGCGCTCCAAAGCCTGGTTCACACGTTGTGTTTATTTGGTGAAGTGATATTTGTAGTACAGCATTTTTACCAAAGTTTGAAACCGCACGTGGCATGCGTAGTAGTGCCAACAAACACTTTTGGCGCTGGGGTGTCGAAGCGCTCGGATAATGGTGTGCTGTTCTCTACCTCAGTACAAAAAGCTGGATTACAAAAATAGAATATCCAGCGCTTTATCCCACTACAACATCTACCACGGCGAATAGGGTGTAATATATTTTTTTGGTGAATACCAAGGGCACCGCCCCC